TATTATTTTATTAATTATTTTACTACTATATTTTATACATTAATTAATATTTATAATATATTTTATATTAATTATTATCTACATTTAATATAATTAATTACAGTTATTTTATTTATTATTATTATAGTAATTATTGTACTGTACTACATTTTATACAATTAATTACAGTTATTTTGTATATTATTATTATAGAAATTATAATTAGGCTGTTATTTTTTTACACACATGCACATATGGGGTTGTTTTATCACATATATTCAGACATAGATAGATAAAATATAGTAATATTGTAGTCTACCTGCACACACAGAGGGAACAGTCTGTGGTGGTGCATTCAGGGTCAGCTGTTGTTGACAACTCAAACACAAACAATAAGCAAATGTGATGCAGATTTGGTCTTCTCTCGCTCCGGCAGTGTTGTTATTTAATTTAACTAGCACATTTACTCGAGTACTGCTCTTAAGTACAAAGTCAAGGTTGTACTTTACTTGAGCTCCCGACCTTTTTGGCCTATTACCGGTTACATAAATGATGATGTTAGTGAGTTCAGTTTCACCAAAGGGACATGTCTGCTCTAAACTTCTCACATGGTTTCAAGTAAGTAGGATTTTCAATGTTTTTACTTATTTTATCAGTTCTTTTATTTAAGTTCCTCTTCCAGTACTGAATATACACTACACACAGTAGTCCCCAGTGAAATACAGTATATACTATATATTATTACACATATTATAGTATATTAATATAGTAACAACATGTATTTCTAACCCTGAACTCTAACATTAGGTGGTTTATCCTGTGGGGATCTGCTTTAACTGTCCCCAAAATGGAGATGAGTCCCTATAATGAGAACATTTGATCCCCACTGAATAAAAGTACACACACACACACACACACACTGTATGCCCCCTGCTGAGTGATGCTGTTAACGTGGCCCCGTTAATCACCGTGGAAACGCAGGTTAACGGCTGGTGTTACAGGACAGCGGGAGCCGTTAATCTGCTGTGAGAACAATACACACACAGGTCATCTGGATCCACGCCGACACACCAAACCACACCAGCTGCTTTCAAATGGCAATAAAATAAATAAAATGGATAAAAAAGTAACACAGTTTGATCATAATTGTAGTTATAATATAAAAATAAACATTGTTCAGATCTTATCTATCACCACTTTCAAATCCCGGCTAACAACCCATCATTTAACAACTGAATCGCTTTAATAATTAATTTAATTATAAAATTGTTTAATTTTTTTTACAAATTAAATTAAAATTTTTAATCTGTTTTTCATTTTATTTCAAATTCCCCCATTTAGCACTTTGGTTAATACCTGTTGTTTTAATATTTTACTTTAAATGTAATTAAATTCATTTAAGATCTGGAGTAATACTTTTTTATTTATATTACCAAAAATTCTCATTATTTTTTTTATTATATTTATATAATATTTTTTTATACACATTCATTTAAAAAATTAAATACTTAAAAAATTATTACTTATTTTATTTCATTTTTTTTTTTTATATATTATTTACATATATTCATCCATATTTTTTCTTTCTCTACCTGCCACTGTCTGTGAATGTCAGTGCTGCACCCTGCTGGCCACAGACTGAAACTGCATCTGAATTATTCAACATATATATATAACTGATTATTAATTAATGAATGAACCACAGTGGTGGAAGAAGTATTAGTAACCTCTGCAAGTGATTAAAAGTAGCAATACTACAATATAGAATTAATAAATTATGAATATAACTATGTTATAATTATTTTTTATTTACAATTAATGTAAAATGTAACAATGTTGGAAACAAATTGTGTCATTTTTAATATTAATGTTAAACAGTATTTGAACAGTGGAAGTTCACAGAGTTCTTATTACTATAGTGTTGTGTATTTTAAAGATTAAGAGTTTATTGAGTATTTGCCTTTCTTATTACTGCAGCCACAGAGAGGGAAGAATTATTCAGATCATTTACTTTGTAAAAAAAGAAATACTCCATTACAGTAAAAGAAAAAATGTCAAGGTGTGTGAACGGCCCACATCCTCACTGAACTGGTTTTCTCAGCTTGTCTGTACTTGATAAATGAATAAAGGTATAAAATAAAACAAGCAGTGCGTTCACCGATAAAGCCGCTATGACAAATTTTAGCTCCGGGCTTCAAAATGAAACTGATCTCGCATCACAAACAGACGCACCAGTGAAAACACAAGAGCCTCAATGTCGACAGCACGCTGCCAATCTAGACCTGTTGATACCTGCTTACATTCCCACCTCTCCCTCATTCTTCCTGCCCTGTTTTAACTGTTATTTTATCTGTTTTATACACTTGTTAAACTCATTTCAGTTCACTTTTATTGAGGAATTATCAGTCATTCCTGCAGACATTTATGAACTCAAGAGGATCAGTCCTAATGTTTCCTTTATATTTAGTACTAAACACTGATTAAGTTTAGTAAAGATCAAGGTACTTTAACCTCTTACCATGTATGTAAAATTACCTAAAAACGCCTAAAAACAACATACCCAAAGTAAATTAAAAGCTGTTCTTCAACCATTTGCAGTATATGCATGG